CCGATCCTGACTATGCAAGTTCTCTAGTGGACAAAAGATCAACTACAAGGTATTGTACTTTTCTTACAGGCAATTTGGTAATGTGGAAGAGCTAGAAACAGAATGTGGTGGCAAGATCATCCGCAGAATCAGAGTTCAGGGCCATTGCTCAGGGATTATGTGAGCTACTTTGGTTGAAGATTACTCTAGATGATTTGAGAGTCAAATGGGATGGACCTATGAAGCTCTATTGTGACAACAAGTCAGTTATCAATATTTCTCATAATCCTATGCAACACGATAAGACAAAGCATATCAAAATTGATAGACATTTCATCAAAGAAAAACTGGAGGAAGGGTTAGCATGTATGTCTTATGTTCCATCAAAACGTCAAATAGCTGATGTTCTAACAAAGGGGCTGAACAGTTCGAATTTCCATGATCTTGTATTCAAACTGGGAATGGAAGATATCTATTCCTTAACTTGAGGGAGAGTGTCAAGATATAGATATGCTCGCAAGAGATTAGGAGAATTAATTAAAAATCCTATAAATTGAGGGATTATGAGGTTAGGTTTCCTTATGAGTTAGTGTCTTATTTAGGAATAAGTAGGTTTCCTGATGAGTTAGTGTCCTATTTAAGAATGCGTTCGTTTCCTAATTTTTCCTCTTGTAACCTACTATATAATACCATGTATTATCAATTCAGAAATAGAGATCTTTCTTTTCTTCTCATATTTCCTCACAGAATTTTTTTGAAGATAAGCAAAATGTTTGGGGTTTCTTTTACAAGTCTTGAAGATAAAGTATTAAGCCTAATTCAAGAAATTGAAAATAGATACGAAAGGAATGGGTATGATATGCCTGTCACTGGGAATTCTAGTAAGAAGCAAGGGGAAAGGGGTAACAGAGAACTAAAGAGATTGCAATGTTTGGTAAATTATAAGGGTAAGAAGGAGAAAAGAAATGAGGAGGGTGAAGTGATCCTAAAATTGAACTAATGATTGAGAAAATAATATCATGGAATGCGAAGGGTCTTAACGATAGATAGAAAAGAGGGGTGATTAGGGGTTGTTTAAAGAGATGAAAGCCTCATATTATCTATTTTCAAGAAACAAAAATGGAGGAGATGGGGCAAGTGATTGTTCACAGTTTTATGGCATGAAGACAACATACAATGGTGTTGCCTACCGGCAGTTGGGGCGGCCGGGCGTTTATTAATTGCATGGAAGAGGAATAAATTTAAATGCAACAATATCTTAAAAGGCAGTGTGTCGCTGTCTTGTCTCTTTGAGGTTAGTGGCAAGGGTGAAAAATGGGCGTTTACCGATGCCTACTGTCGTAGTAATGGGGTGGAGAGGAATTTATTGTAGGATGATTTGGAGGTGTGTACGAATCAATGAGGAGATAAATGGATATTAAGGGGCTATTATAATATGATCCTGAAAAGAGAGGAACAGTCAGGAGGGGGTAATTTTAATGCCGAGGTGGAGCAATGTAACACCCCGCACTTTTGTACTTCATGTGGTATTAAAACTTCATTTTATTCGGGCTTTTGGTCATTAAATTTATGCGGCGTAATATTATTTCGTTCTATATTTTATTTTGGATTTCTGCTGTTATTCCTTAATTTATAAAAATTTATTTTATTATTATTATTTTATTTTATTTTGTTTTATTTTAAAATTGTTGAGGATTTCAAATTAAAAGAGAGAATGAAAGAAAATTTAGAAAAAAAAAATTTGTTGTGGGAAAAGCCCAACTCGGCGGGCCTACCCGCACGCTCGTGCGTCTAGCCAGTTGGGCGTGTGCACAGGCGCACGACCCATCAACCTGGCACCCACGCCGCGCCATGGTTGTGCACGAGTCCCCCATGCAAACGTGCATATTGAGCGCGCATGGCCCAACGCACGCTCTGCATGCGCAGATCCCGCGTGCTGGCCTGTTGCATCAGGTGCGAAGCTCCGGGAGCGCCTGTGTGACGCGACCGCGCATGTCAATGCCCACAGCAAACTTAGACCACGTGCGGCGCCTCGATCCCCACGGCGTCGTCACTGCCGCCCTACACTGCCGTCACCATCACCGCCTTGGGAGTCGAGCCTCCCCTTAACCAATTGTGTCATGATGACATCATCATTTTCTCTCTCACGGATTCGCAACACTTGTCGCAAATCTGACAGTTCCCTTCCTTTATAAATAGAGACCTCCTCCACTACTCTTTCTTACTCATTTTCACTCTCAAAGACCAAAATTCTAGAGAGAGAAAGGAGGAAAATGAAGAGAATAGATACTAGCTTACAAAGAGTCGTCAATATCAGTAAGGGATTCAATATTTCCTTACACATTCTAAGATGCATTTTAAAAAAAAATAAAGAAATTAATATTGATTTTATTGCATGATTGTAGCGTGATTTTTAAATAAATGAATGTTGATTTTATTGCATTATTGTAGCATGATTTTGAAGGTGTGATGAGTTATTAATTATGATAATTATTTTAATTATACATGCATCATATAAACACTAGTTTGTTATTTCATGAACGAAGTTGAAATGCAATTGATACAAGAACAGATTACATGAAATTGTTAACATGGCATGAAAAACAAGAATGGATACATGAAATATGAATTAATCCGTTACACTGTTTTATCTACTTTTGTTGCCCCCACCCTATCTGAAAAGACGTAATATAACCACTTCCTGTGGATGACGACGCAAAAGTGCGTAGGATATCTTAGGACTACTGTGGCGAAGTACGGTCACGGTCCTAATCTTTAGGACCACAGTGGTTGGCACGACCGTGATTATAAATCGTGCTATGGTGTGACGAGTCGCAAATCACGTATGGTGTAACGAACCACAAATCAGTTATGGTGCAACGAGCCGCAAATCTGTTGTGATTGAACAAACTGTAAATTGTCGTTAGTATCACCATAGTGATAGTTGGGAGTCTATATTAGTCAGTAAATAAAAAGTCGTAATGGGCTTCACACGAAGTATAGTAAAAGACTTAATAACAGTTATTATTCTTATTTGTTTGATTTTTTCTCACTTGATGAGTTATTTGTATTATTATGTTGTTTGATGATCTTGATATTAAATGTTTTTTTACATTAATTCTACTCGTATGGATCGTTGAAAATGGTAAGTAGAAAAATGTATTTTTCTTAAACGCTTTTTATTTTATAAAATTTCTTAGTTATGTCAAATTAATGCTATATGCCTTACTGAGTTCCATAAAACTCACCTTTTATACGCTGGGCCCGCACAGATGACGTCGAAGAGGATGTTTGTTATGAGTTGTCCGCCGAGTTACCCCTTGAAGCTTGCCTAGATCCCATGGATCCATTATCGTTGACGAGTGCATGTCTTGTTTCGCACACTAATGAGTCCATTTATATATGATAGAAGTGGTTATCTTTTATATTTTGTTATTTTATATTTTGTCGTCACTTCTGGTCCTCCTTATATATGTACTTGGG